GGTTCAGACTTACCAAGTGGATAAGTAACTGTTTACAAGTTCTCGAATCACTTCATCCAGAAGAGAGAGCAGAAGCCGTAAAAGAGATTGACTTTGAGAGACTTCCTACGGAACGCACATTGGGATTAATTTGGAATACTATGGTTGATGCGTTTGAATTTAAAGTTCGCATACCGAAATGCCTTCTCACTAAGCGAGGTATATTGTCGAGTGTAGCTTCATTATACGATCCCTTGGGATTGTTAGCACCATTAATACTTCCTACGAAGCAGTTATTTCAACGTTTAGGTAAATTGGGACTAGGATGGGACGAAGAGATTTCAAGTGAGGAAAGCAAACGCTGGTTAGAGATTTTAAGTGAAATTCAGACGGTTGAGGACGTTAGTTTTCCACGCTGTGCATTGTTTCCACGATCAGAACGCTCGCTCCTGGAACTTCATATTTTCTGTGACGCCCAGGAAACTGGATATGGGGCAGTGGCATACGTTCGCTCTTACATCCATGACACTGAAATATGATCTCTTCTTATTACGGCTAAGGCAAGAGTAACCCCCTTAAAGATTCAAACTATACCCCGCTTGGAACTTACGGCAGCAGTGTTAGCAGCGCGTATGGGGTCCCAGCTGCAGTCCGAGTTAGATATTAAGTTTGCAGAAGTTATGTTTTGGATGGATTCGATGACTGTCTTACACTGTATTAGAAATGAGAAAAGCCAGTTTAAAACATTCATACCAAACCGGATTTCAACTATCCACAGTCTTACAAAGGTGGACCAATGGAGATTCGTACCTTCTAAGGAAAACATAGCAGACTTTGCATCCAGAGGAGCCAAGTTCAACATTGATGATGTCAAGGTATGGGAGGAGGGACCACATTTTTTGAAGAAGTCAAAGGAGTGTTGGCCTGATGCGGATGTACAAGGTCCTGAACCCCATCTCTTGGAATTAAAGAAGGTAATGTCCACGCATGTAATGGTTGGAGAATCCACTGTTGATCTACTTATTAATTATTATTCAGATTGGACTAGATTACTTAAGGCTGTTGCATGGTTGATCCGATTTAAGCGATATTTATTAATAATGTATTCTGGCAGAAATGATCTGTCTCTACAGGTGGGCATGTTCAGAGTTGATGAGCTAGATTTAGCTTGTTTAGATTTAATTCGATATGTCCAAAGCATAGTATTTCGGAAAGAGATTTAAATGTTGTCGTCTGATACCATTAGCAAAGTGAAAATAACAAATTCACCCTTACGAACCTTGAATCCAATAATTATAAACGGATGATTGTGTGAGTCGAGGAAGCATCCTATAATATTACCATCGAAGCATACAATTACAGATTTGATTCTACGGTATTACCATGTTTTGGAGGGACATGTCGTAGCTACACAGGTATTGGCAACGGTTCGAGAAAGATTTTGGGTGCTGAGGGTTGGTGTAGCCATGAGGAGAGTGATAAAGGATTGTGTTTATTGTAAAGGAGGGACGCCCATCCCATTCATCAACTAATGGCACCATTACCTGCGATCAGGATAGAAGGTGGTGACTATCCGTTCTTATCAGTTGGGTTAGATTATTTTGGACCCCTTACGGTTAAACATGGTAAGGATAGACTAGTGAGATTGGTAGAACTGAGGACAAGAAAGGGGATCCTAGTGAGAGATATACGTAAACTGTGTCCTCTTGAAGCGGTAGATGGTAGGTAGCTACTCGGATCCCTAGGCGTACCGGTGTAAGTCCTAGGGATCACGAGATTGTCGGCATATTGAATGTTTGTTGTTGATTGCTTGTGATGCACATACTTGGATTGTTGTTACCTCTTTTTGTCGGTAAAAAGAACCAAGGTTCTTTTGGTCGGGAGTGTTACGGGAGAAATGAAGACATTTGGCTGATTAAAATCTTTATATAAAAATCCCTAATTTCACTGTGCTTTTTGGGTATATTTGTTTTACTTGACTTATGAACTTGTTTGACTTATTATTTTCGGACATTTTGGTCTCTGTTTGTCTTGGTTTGCTAATTGGGAGTCTTAGCTCCAGGAACCTATAAAATTGAAGGTTTTCGTAGTTATTATAATTATTGTTGTTTGAACGACATTTTGGTCGACTATTTGTAAATTGCGAATAAACTTTGGTACCTAACTTTGGAGTTTGGTTCTGTTGATAATTTGGGTTCATGAATTGCAAATAGATAGACATACTGTACTTCAATAACGGGAAGGAGCAAAACTTGGACTTTACAGGCTGGAAGTAGGAATATAGGCTTGATTGTTATGGTCAGTCAATTTGTGAGGGAAGAGGGAGAAATGAATTCAGAGACAGGCATGGTGAGAGAAACATGTGAGGTAGGATATGATAAGTGTTGTTCGTCAGATTTAACTGATGACCACCAAATAACAGATGAGGAAGTCGCTAGGGGGCATATGGACGGATCGTTCATGTCCATTGGATTAGGTATAGTGGGCTAAGTCAAATCTTTGGACAATGTGAAAGGCGGTTTGTCAAAAGGACCAAACATAAAAGTATTACAGCTAGAAGGGGTAGACAGCGGCAACGATTTATTGTCATCCATTACATCACAGAATGTAGAGCGTGACTTGAAGGAGGAGGAAATATCGCCCTCAACAGCTGGAGGCAGTAAAACAACTCTGTTGAGGGAGTGAGCGTTAGTGTTAAGTACATGTTTTGGAGAGACCGAAGAATTGTAAAAGGTATTTCGGCTGGGGTGGTGTCTAGGAACATTACGCGGATGCCCAAGCAGGCTAGTGTTATGAGTTATCTCAGCAACTCTAAGCATCCTAGTCTTTTTGTACGCAATCAAGGGTAAAGGCTTTGGGTTAGAAACGGGGAGGCGCCTAAGGTTAGAGTTTAGGGAGGTATTTATGGTATGAGTGTCCGTATTCTTAGGAGTCCTAGGGTTTAATTTTAGAAGTATAGTAGCGTCCCAAATAGGAGAGGTAGGGGGCAGGCAGGAATGAAGGAGTTAGAAGATGCATTTGGAAGATATTCTATGTGTGGAGAATTTAATGGTCCAAATCAACTGGTTGTTGCAATGTATGTGAAACACAATGTTCCCAGTGGTTATCTGATATGGCTACGTGGCCGAATGTCTACCGCAGGGTTTTGTCCACTGAAACTAATGTTATGAGCATCAATGTCGGAAAGTTTCAGATGTATTTATTTTGAGGATTTATTTGCAGCTACGTGACCAAACAGTTGCTTAAGCCTAACGTGCCTACCGCGAGTAAGTACTCTCGCACCATCCAGCAGCGCCTAGTCGCTTTCCTTCAACTCTAAGGATCGGATGGTTATCAGCATAAGTGTGCACAAATTTAAGACTAATGACTACATCGTCAATGAAGATTTGGAATTTTTACAGCATTTCTCATCTTAAATGACATACGCAAATGGTTATGGAGTCCGAATGGACTCATGAAAATCATTTCACAAATGTCGTCCACACCCTTTAATCAAGTCGGCTTTTGAAGAAACAGTCTTATCTTCCAAGATAGCTGTTAGATCGTGAATATGTGGTAACCTATTGTCGTTTACCGCTGTATCTAACACATGGTGAATAAAGTCCTGTCTAAAAGAGCTCAGGGTTGTAAGTACGGATTGTATGGTTTTTAATTGTGAATGTGTCAAATCTGAACCAGAAATGTAACTCCAAAAACAGGCAACTAGGTATTTCCATCTGCCAATAATAATAATAACAATTTATTTTCAAATAAAAAAACTTATGTTTGCTTGGGTTGACCAGTAATTTAATGTTTCGAAGCAGGTCTATTCCAATGGTTGTCCCTGACATGTCTACTACAGCGAAAATCATGTGTACGTTTGCATAAACCCATACTAAGATAAACGTAACTTTTGCCATGAGAGGCTGTCGATTTTCCGTTTACCACCTATCGTTTCGCTGAAAAAATGTCAACTACTGAAGTGAGGAATGCTAAAACTTAAAAGGTACTATTGGATGCAGTGAAGATGAACTAGTGACGAGATCAGTTATGGGCAGTTTACACTAACGAGGAAGCAATGTACAGAGGCGCTAAGAGAGGATAGACTTCGATATCAGATCAGGCTAACTGACAAATTTGTCCCCGACCCGGGAAGTTTATCGTCCCTAACTTCGAAAAGACAAAGCTGGAGTTTCCAAGTTGTTAGGTCCTAATTTCAGACGACTGTGTGCAGAAAAGTATCTTCAAACTATTTGATCGTCATAAACGACCTAAATCAATGAGAGCTCCACCTGACACCTAGGATGAATCGTAGAAATGAATGACTAGACTAGTGCATCAAAAACTGCATCACGGAAACAAAGAAACTTAAACTGCTCACATTCACCAATGAGTCCACAGTCCCAAACAATTGGAAGCCTGCTCACATCACACTGCTTTCCAAGGAGGAGTGATGCAACGAACCTTCAAGCTGTCGACTTGCAGAACTACTTTTAATAACTTCCAAAAATGCCAACTTATCGGTATATGATGGCCTAAGCGACTACTTATTATCCATAAACTTCATTTACGCAGTAACACGGTTTTAGACCGTTTTGAAGTAGATGGCGAACCTTATTCGTCATATCAGTGATGCATAACAGTTGACCACTTTCACCAGCTACGGTCTTCGCTAACTTTTACTGGCTTTGGAGGTTTGTTGTTATGTAAACTGCTGGGTTTCTTGTAATTTCAAGAAGACCAACCTTTAGTGTTTTGGTAGCAAGTGCTATTTGGATCGAGTTAAGATATTCTTCCGGTTTATTGGGAGGGGGCGGGTTAACACTGGAACAATGAGTGTTGAAGAACTATGAAGAATTTTCCAAGGAAGACAGTATGTAAGGAAGAAGTCTGTAAGATCCCAATTATTTGCATGACTGTAGAAAGAAATGAAAACCTACTACATAAACGCTGACTCCATGACAGAAATTAAATCACAAAAGGTATTCGACCTGAAATTACTTTATTTGTAATAAAACTCCATAAGATTGGATAATTGGAGATTGGAATACTTTGTCTGTCAATGTGCTTTGTTTTTCTTAACTGTTCTTCCGCTCACCGTCACCTACTCACATTAGTTGATAGCGTGCCCGGGGCGTGTAGCTAATTACGTTCTTGAGATCATGCCTTCCGAGAAAGAACATATTAACGCTGTTGTTATTGGACATGTCGATAGTGGAAAATCCACTACCACTGGACATCTAATTTACAAATGCGGTGGCATTGACAAACGTACTATTGATAAATTCGAGAAAGAGGCTGCTGAGGTAAGTGTACTATTTGTTCCTCACATTTCCTTAGATGGGTAAGGGTTCTTTTAAATATGCTTGGGTGTTGGATAAACTGAAAGCTGAACGTGAGCGTGGTATCACTATCGACATTGCCTTGTGGAGGTTTGAAACCGTTAAGTACAGTGTCACAGTTATTGATGCACCTGGTCATCGGGATTTCATCAAGAATATGATCACAGGAACGAGTCAAGCTGATTTTGCTATACTGATTGTTGCTGCTGGTGTTGGTGAATTTGAGGCCGGTATTTCCCAGAATGGCCAAACTAGAGAACACGCTCTGTTGGCATACACACTGGGTGTCAAACAGATGATTGTCGCAATCAATAAGATGGACTCCACTGAACCTCCCTTCTCTGAGACTCGATACAAGGAAATTATCAAAGAAGTATCTGGCTACATCAAGAAAGTCGGGTTTAATCCTGCTGCGGTCCCGTTTGTACCCATCTCTGGGTGGCACGGTGATAACATGATAGAAAAGAGTCCCAACATGCCATGGTTTAAAGGTTGGGACATTGCAAAAACGAAGGAGGGGAAGAGCTTAAGTGACTCCGGTCATACACTTATAGATGCAATTGATAAAATGGAACCTCCATCTAGACCAACAAACAAACCTCTCCGAATTCCGTTGCAAGATGTCTACAAGATAGGTGGTATTGGTACGGTTCCTGTTGGTCGCGTCGAGACTGGTATCATCAAGCCTGGTATGGTCGTGACATTTGCTCCTCAAGGATTAACAACAGAAGTCAAGTCCGTCGAAATGCACCACGAAGCCCTTGCAGAAGCCTTGCCCGGTGACAATGTTGGTTTTAATGTGAAGAATGTTTCCGTCAAAGATATCCATCGTGGTAATGTTGCAGGCGATTCAAAGAACGATCCCCCGAAGGAAGTCGCAAGCCCTACTGCTCAAGTCATTGTTATGAATCACCCAGGGGAGATCAAAAATGGCTACGCTCCAGTTCTTGACTGTCACACTGCGCATATTGCCTGCAAATTTAGTGAGATCAAGGAGAAGATTGATCGACGTTCAGGAAAGACAGTAGAAACCTTCCCAAAATTAATCAAGTCTGGTGACGCTGCATTGGTTGATTTTACTCCAACAAAACCCCTGTGTATTGAAGCTTTCACGGAGTTCCCACCGCTCGGTCGCTTCGCCGTACGAGACATGAAACAAACGGTAGCTGTTGGTGTAGTTAAAGCAGTCACGAAGAAAGCAGATGCGGGTAAAGTGACTAAGTCAGCGGCTAAGGTAGCAAAGAAAAAGTAAATTTGAGTGTTTTGTTCATCAATTAAATTTTCTGGATTAAACCTGCTTCTTTGAAATTTCTCTGATTTTGTGTTGAGCGTTCCTTAAAGCGTGCGTATTTCTAAGTAATAATTTGTGTTATGTGAGTGGGTAAGAAAAGTGTTTTTACTGGTTGTTACGTCCTCCTGTTTCTCGTAACCTGTGTAAGTTGCGTTAGCTGCGGCCATTATTAAGAAACGTGAACCTGTATGTGAAAATGAGGTTTGTGTCTCGAATTGTAGGACTGTCGTGTTGTATCTGTACGCTCAGATCACCTCATACTCTACTTTGCCGTACGCGTCTCATTACTGTATCGTCTGTCAAGTCACATAACTACGGTTTGTGACATCTAGCATTGTACGGTTCCAGAATTTGTGGGATTTCTTCGATTAACGACGTTTTAAAGTTGCTTTTGGGGTGGTTCCGGTTGGTTGCCTACGCTGTGTCTTGAGATCTGTTCCGCTATGCTTGGTGCTGTATCATAGAAGTCATTAGATCTTGTATGTGGTTGTCACGGGTGGGCAGGAATAACTTCAGCTTTGACACTGCATTACGGTTGAGTTAGTAATATTTGCCGTTAATTTTTAAACCTAACTGGATCACATTATCAAGTGTTGAGACTGACTGGGGTTTTGAGGTTCTGTATCGGGTGCGGTTGATCAGCTCACTAACCTCAATTGAATCTCCCCTTGATATAGGTTGAGATCGTAAACTCAAAGTATATGGTGCCTCTACAAGTGTCTACCATAGAGAGTTGTTTCTCATATTATATTCGAAATAGCCCTAATAGTATTTGGGCATTTACCTAGTGCGTGTGGGACATAGGCGTTATAACGATATTGATTTCATACCTTTTCGTGGATGATAATGGTTTCGAATGCGAAATTATGGTGGGCTGTCATCGGAGTTCGTCAGGGTTGTCCACTCTGCCCCATCCTTTTTGAACTTATACACAGACATCTTGCGGACAATCCATTTATAGTGTGGATTTTCATTGTTATCCGACCAAGAAACCTGCTTGTTGAATTAGATTATGACAATGAAATAGTTTTTTTGGTGGTGACGCTTTCAGAATGTAGTAATCTCACCACCCTTAGCAGCATAGCGAAAATGTTCGGGATCCGGTTCTCCCCGTGATGTAAAATGTTGCCTCAAGATAAGCTTGTGTCGGCATCTGAACTAGTGTTAGGGAGTAAAGCGTTTGACCATTGTGACAGCTCCCTCTATCTTGTCAGTCTCAATAGTGCCGATTACTTGGTGTGTGTGAATAATATCAGCACGGTTACAGAAGTCCTCATAGGCTTTGCCAGGTTGCGTCACTTAGGACGGGTCTACTCCACAGTAATTCGCTGTGTACTACTACACGTGTGTGAAACATAGGAAGTAAAAGTACAGATTATTCCTAGGTGCAAGTCAATCTTGAAGCAACATTCTGCATTTCGAGTGTGAGAAACGCATCCCGAACATGCTTGCATTGTTGCTTAGGGTAATATAGTCAGAAGACTGTATTGTCAGCGTTCTCACCAAACAGAACTATATCATCGGCATATTCTAAGTCAGCAAGTGATTTTCCTGGTAGAAGGTCCGCCCCTGAAAGTTCAGACGAGAATAATGTTATACTTAGAAGCAGGTCTATGACAAGATTAAACAAGATTGGAGAAGGCGGACATCCCTGAGGGGCACCACTTGAAGTAATCAATTCCGGTGACAGTTCTCCATAAGCTCTCACTCGACCTGTAGTATTCGAGTAAAGAGCTTGTATAAGGTTAATGTACTTCTTTGGTACACCTTTCAATGACAGACACTGCCACAGAACCTCACGACCCACAGAGTCAAATGCCACCTTAAGGTCCAGGAAGACAACTATTGTCGGACGCCTAAACATGTGTCTATGTTCTACGACCTGACGTAGTGTGAATATCTGGTCTATAGCATCGACGTCCAGGTCTGAAACCAGCCTGGTTTTCGAGTCTGCTCTTCACGAGCTTTAGTTTAGCGTCTAATTATTATCGAGGCTAACAATAGACACACTATATTATTTAAACGGATTCCTCCATGATTTTCACTATAGGACTTTTGTCCTTTTCTATTGACCGGAACCATCAGTGATTGAGACCAGTCGGATGCGATCACGCCTGTTTCCCGAATTCGGCCGAAGTTTCCAGTCAATCTAGCAGCTAACACTGTATCACCATCCTTAAAAATCTCAGGGGTCAATCTATCGGGACCCGCTGCTCTCCCTGGCCCTAGATTTCCCACAGCTTTTTCAACTTCCATAAGAGTCGGAGGACTTATGGCGACTCGCCATTCAGGTTGACTGGAGATTGTGGGCAACCAAAGTGTGGCTGACGGTCAATTTAACTGATCCCTAAAGTGTTCTGCCCATCGATCCAATCTCCTGGATTGGCAATGAATAATAGTTCATCCTTTTCCGAGATAGTCGCACTTAGAGTCGGATTCCTAATACCGGTTTCCTTGATGAGTCTGAATAGTTGTCTACTGTTGCGTATCGCCGTTGCCTTTTCCATCCGTCTCGTTTTCGCTACCCACCACTGTTTGCGATCATTGTGTAGACTTTTTATCAGAGTGTGCCTAAGCTGACTCCGCTCCTCATCTTACTCAGAGCCAGACGGGCTGAGTTTACGAGCATCCATTGGTTTGGTAGATGCTACTGAGATCCACGGCTTCTCCCTAACCTCATGGTTTATCTTACTAGCAGATATCACCGCTGTTTCCATAGCTTTTTGGATACCGTTCCAAGCTGCCTCAGGGTGAGCATCACTTACTACATGGCTATCTAACTGTTTCTCTAGTTGTTCCTGAGATATATTCTTAGCTACGCTATCATTAAGTAGAACCCTAAGAGGCTTTCTTGCGGTATTTTTCCAACGTCCAGTAAGCCGCAAGTAAATACGCGCTCACACTAGAGCGTGGTCTGATTCTAAACAAGTGCTCGAGAATGAGCGGCAGTTTTCAATGCAGCCTGTTTACCGATGGGTGATAGTAATGTCATCTAATTGGGTCCATCGAACCAACGATGAACCCAATTACATCTCCGCGCTAATGTGGTAAGGCAACATGAACTGGTGTACGTACGTACGAAGTTCTACGTTGCTGTTGGTTGATTGATTGATCGTTGGGTCGGCTTTGGAGGTCGCCAAGTCAAGAGATGTTTTTCCTAATGCCTAAAGTATGTTTGCTACAAATGGATGATTATCTGAGCACAGCTGTAGTAGGCGGTGGCCATTATCTGATCTTTGAGCCATGACATAATAGGATCCATCCAGGTGTCTTTCCTTTTCACTCAGTCTACCTACTTGAGCATTAAAGTCATCAGCCAGTATTCCTATATCAGATCGCTTAACTTGTTATAGACGGTTTGAGAGGTTTCTGTAAAACCCATTTTTTATGTCGTATGAACCGCATTCAGTGAAAGCATAGTCGCAGATATTGTGTCAAATAGCGTAAAAGGCTTCATTTGCTAAGACTGGTAAAGTCATTAATTTGACTTCACCCTGTCAAATAAAGAAGCAGCTCGATTTATTCTTCGTTTATCTGGAAGCGCTGATGCTGTTTCGTGGGGTATCGCTGGTGTGGGTCTAGCATTGGGTTCTAGGACAGAACTAGCTCTCTTAGACTGGATCCCAGTAGACAGTCGCTTATGCAGACGGACAAACAGACAGATACAACGCAGAACTTCGTACATAAGTACATCAGTTCAGATTTCCATACCACATCAGCACACAGACTCAACTGTCAGTTCAAATCCAAGTGTGATAGCGATAATAGAACTATTAGCAGTAATGGAGATTAGGGAGCAAAGATGTGATTCGAGAAGTATAATTCAGTGAGATCAATTTAGAAGGAGAAAAACAGAGATGATGAGAAATTCAGATTAGAATTAGAGAGAACACAAAGAGTGGATGCACCTGCGCCATTGCAAACGATTCTGAGCCATGTCGTTCAAGGTCTATAGCCATCGATGACTTTCGTCTCGTGGACCCCAACCAGATAGCCTACATCTACCAACATGACTCAGTCCACTTGTCAGTGACTTCATGGATTTGTGCCATGTTTTGGTTTGGCCACCCCTAACTTTCTTCCAACCTACTCCTACACTGCAAAACATAGCTCGTCGCGGCAGTCAGTGGTTAGGCATACGTAACACATGTCCCAACCACCTCAACTGATGAAGTTTTAATACTTCATCTATTGATTTGCCATCCTTACCTAGCACCCATTTCCTAACGATAGCATTGCTTACTCGGTCGTCCCAGAATACATAAGCAATGCTTCGGATACACGTATGATCGAAGACTAGTAAACTACGAATGTCCTCTACTCTCACTGACCGTGTTTCGCATCCGTATAGTAGGACAGAGCGAAATTCTGCGCAATAAACTCGTCCTAAGCCAATCGAACCTTCTGTATTCGTGCTGAGATTTCATCAGTCACCAGGCCATCAGCACTGATGAGACTCCCCAAATAAGTGAAGTGATCAACACGCTCGACGACTTCACTCCCTATCACTAGTTCATGTGCCGATGAAACCCAATCTTGAAGCAAAACTTTACATTTCGAGGGTGAGAACCGCATCCCGAACCTGCTTGCATTGTTGCTTAAGTTGGTCAGAAGACTTTGCATTTTGTCAGTGTATTCACTATGTAGGACAATGTCATCGGCATGTTCTAAGTCGATAAGCGAACCTCCAGGTAATAGGTCTACTCCTGGAAATTCAGACGAGGATAAGGTTACATCTAGGAGCATGTCTATGATAAAATTAAACAAGAATGGGGAGAATGGACATCCCTGACGGACACAACTTTAAGTAAAGAATTCCGGTGACAGTTCTCCTTAAGCTCTCACTCGACCAGTGGTGTTCGAGTAGAGAGTTTGTATAAGATTAATGTACTTCTTTGGTACACCTTTCAATGACAGACACTGCCACAGAACCTCACGATCCACAGAGTCAAATGCCGCTTTTAGGTCCAGAGGAACAACTACTGTAGGACGCCTAATGTGTGTCTGTGTTCCA